CCATTCAGCATTGGTGTTCTTGTTTACGGATGAGTTTGCTTTGAAGCTTTCTTCAGATGAAGATGTTTCGCTGTCAATGAGGTCTTTGTTGCCAAAACCGTTCCAAATAAAGTCAAAGGTTTGATTTGTCATCGGGATTTCAACTCCACTACTTACAAAGTAACAAGGCATATTGTGTATATAGTTAATTATATATCTTAATATTTGTTTAAGCATTTTTATCCTCAATAGGAACTATGTATATCAGTTTGGGCATCTCACACAAAGTCCAAAGGTTTGATTAGCTATTGGCATTTGAAGTCCGTTGCTTACAAAGTAACAAGACATACTGCAAATGTAGTTAATTGTATATCTATGTATATCTTAATATGTGTTTAAGTATGTTTAAGTATTTTTTGCCCGATGGGGGTTTTGTGTATAATATCTCTACGCCGTCTCATATAAGTCGGTGGCACGCTTTTCGTGACTGCAAGGAGTTTAGCATGTTGAAAAGGCACCCTTAGTTGCCAAAACTTTGTCCACTAGTTTTCCACAGATTTTCCTTAAATTTTCTTCTAGTTTTCCATTCAAAGCTCCGACTCCCAGGAAAGCCTGTCCAAAATCAAGCACAAGTCTTTTTCTTAGGGACCTGTATGTTGCTTGGTCTGTGCTTGGGCGCTATGTGCAACGCCTGAATGAAACATGCTATGGCCAGCTCTTGGGCCATTGCTCCTGCACCCGTTGCGTGCATGACCTGATTGTCAGGAAAAGTCAACCCTTCAGTCCAAGTTGGAATTGTCCACGTGCAACGCATACTCTATCATTGACGCAAGGTCATACCACAACGAACCAACTGTGCTGATTTTGCGATACGAAGTGAAACTTTAATAGACTACATACACGCCCACATTCGTGCTCTCATTGGATTTCGACAGCCTCAGCCGACAGAGCAACAAACAGACCCTCATGAGAGCCAAAATTTGTCACTGTGACCACGGAACTCCATTACCGTCAAGCCACTGCAGGTTGCCAAGAAAGCTGAGACTCACACTCACGCTGATGGTATCGTGAAACCATAGCAATCTGACCTGAATGCTCAGAGGCGGCAAAGGAACAAAAATACATCAGGAAGTTGTAAACAATGACATCAATCTGAACCGAAGCATTGCAAAAGCTGCTCAAAACAAAACACTAAGTGGCGGGCTTGGACGTGCCACGATTGACTGGTGCTTCTTCATCTTCCAGAATCCAATTTCCATCCTGCCGTGAGCAAACTGGCAAACCACAATGCTGCAAAGGCAATTTGAGACGCTGGTGTGAAAGGGGTTGGGTCAGGTGTTGTGAAAGAAAATGGACGTTATTTCTCCTTGATGTCAATCTTGGTGTGAAATGATCAGGTCAATCGTGTGCGATTGTCGGTGGAAAGAATGGGCAAGTAAGCTCTCCTCCTTCTGGCTGTACACGTTGATTTCATCAGCATCGCACCGCACGGTGTAGATGTCAATCTTGAAAGATGCGACGGGGAGCTCCGCCTTCTTCTTGATGCCCTGAATGAAATCGCAGTCAAGTCTAACAAACTCGAACTCGAACAAGGTCTCTAAGCACTGGGCTTTTTTGAGGTCATCAACCTCAAACCGAAGCAATACCGAGCCGTCGACTGCGGCAACTTGGATGAAACCTTCAAAAACACTTGGTAAGTAAACCTTGCACACGTGATGGAGTGGCTGAGCCGACTACATCGGAAATGTTGTTAGATTACGTGAAACATGACAAGCCAGCAAGAAGGGCATAGCCAAGTTAAGGTCATTACGTCCGCCAACTCCCCCTTGACTTGGAAAGCGTTGCCAATCTCCTTGAATGTTCCACCGTCCTGCAATTTCAAACAGGAGCTGGGCGAGTGAACAGACCACTTGCATCCTAACCTACCACTAGTCAGAGGAACCTCGATCAGGAGCAAAGGCATAAACTGGTGTATTGACTTTTGCAAATCACAAAGATTTTGTTTGATGCTTGAGTGGGAGAAATGATGGAACACAACCCTACTTTTATTCACCAATCAACACCGGTTTTTGCACAGGAATTTTGCAAAGGAACAAAGAAAACGAACATAGGGATGTAAAAAACAAGGTTGCTTCTTTAACAGATGTTGCAACTTTCAACGTCTTTGATGTTGAGGTGGGACTTTTCTTGGCTTTTTCGTCAATAAGAGTTCTTCCTACACCTGACAAAAGGGCACAGCAAAGGAACAAGAGCATGGCAGAAAATCATACAAAGTCTTTAGTCTAAATCCTCTCTATCAAATTGAGGAAGATTATTGGAACATATCTTTTAGCAAATCCTGAGGAATGAACAACCCTGCAATCTTCTCCCCAAAAAGTGCTGAGCTGTCTCAAGAACATAGAATGACACAGTATTATTTTGCATAGCGGGCTTGCCCACATTTTTGGGCTTGGGAGGAACATTATATAGACACCCTTTCTCGAAACAAGCTCAGCATGTGGAACTGTCGTCAGTCCTTCTGGAGCTGCCTCACCCAAACAGCTTTTGTCGTAGCACTAGTACCTGCAAGTAGCGTGAAAAAGGATGGCAGTCGCTGGTCCATTTTCAAATGCTCAGATGTTTTGCTAAGGCTGCTAAGGTAGGACTGTAGGACAAGAACGACAAACAAAACAAAAACAAACAAAACTGCAAGACTTCACCCAGCGTCTGGTCTGAGCTGTTGGAGATAGATTGACACTCTTCAGCGATTGGACACTGTAGAGCTCAGGCTTGCCGTCGTCCTTGAGCACCAACTTCCTTGCCACGAGGTCGCATTCCACATTGAAGGTGTTGATGATCATGCCCTTGCTCTTCACGTGGACGGTGTAGGCTGTGTGAGCTATGTTAGGGACTAAGCCTATGACTTGCACATCAACCGCTTGAGTCTTGTTCACCGTGTCACGCATCTTCTTGTTGTCATTGCCGATGATGTAGAGGCCCTTGTGCTTGGCGTTCTTGTAGTTCGTCATGCTATTGAAGCGCTGAAGGTGACTGCCGATTTGTCCTCTGAATTTCACGCCCTCCAGAACGAACCTCTCCCCACCAATTTCCAGTGCAATGTCTGGATTTGCTTCACCCTTCCGAGATTGCTTTGTGGAAACGGGCTGGTACGTCATATCTTTCAAGGTGGTGCAAATCGCCTCGTGGTACTGCTCCTCACTCGGAAGACCGTCCTTCGCCAACTCGGATGTGTTTGCTTCGAAGCTCACAACCCGGGAGAAGAGCAGGTAGGGCAATGCTCGCATCAATAGGTCTGCACAGTGTTGGGGTTTGCTGGGCTCAAAGTGAACTTGCAAATTCTGCCTCTTCTTCAGATTGTGGAAGTAATACGAGGCAAGCAAAGGATTTGCCGCTCGGTATTCTGTGCCCTCAGTCATCCAATCCAACTGTTGGAACTCTCCCTCCGTACCACTGTATTTGGGAACCACGAAGCCGTGGATGGTAAGGTCTCTCCGGACGTGCTGTGGCAATGTTGTTGAGCCCTTGCACAAAAGCTCTGCAAACTCTCTCGGCACGTTGCTCACGTCTGTGTACAAACCACTGACCCTCACTGCACGGCTCTCGCGCAGGTACCCCAAAATCTCAGTGTCTGCGCAATTCCAATCTCCTCCATCGTAGCTATTCCGCACAAACCCCACTGTCTGCCGGAAAGCCCAGCGGGAAATCCCACTTCTCTGCTTGCTCTGCACCCAGCGCATTGCTGCAATGAAGATGCCACGATGTCCACCGCAAAATTGCATAAAGAACTTGATGCTCTTCTGGTCCAGCCTAACACCGGCTTCCTCCAGCTGCACCTGAAGCTCTGACGTGGAGTTCAAGGGAGGTGTCCACATGTATTTCTGGGTAATTTCACCCGGTGTGGACACAATCAGGGTTGATGCAGTGGAAGCATCCCCTGAAGCTGAGAATAGCAGAATCTTTGGTTAATAGTTTATATGCTGCACTGCTCTTGAAGAGCGCTGAGCATAGCTCTGGTGAAGAGAAGAGGGTGTGAGCCTCGTCATAGATGAGGGTCAGATTGTTGTCTCTCGCCAGCTTCAAGGCGTTCCTAAACTCCAAACCATCTCGGGCGGTCTTCTTGCCGATCGCTTTCTCCAATGCTTCTACCGTCCCCATCTTCCAAGCAGTTGGTTGCCCTGCATCGGTGAAGGGAACATTGACGTACTTCTGGGGAAACTCACGTGCCAAATGTTCTGCCAGTGTTGTCTTGCCTATGGCTACACCACCGCGAATGAAAACGACTTTATCGTCTCCTTCAAACAACTTGTCAATTTTCTTGTCGTAGTCTGTCAGGGAGAGGAAAACATGCTTCTGCGGATCTGCCGAGTCGCTCAGCGGTGGCAGTATCCGACGCTTTTGCGGACTTGCATTACGGACTTCTGCTTTCAATCTCGTCGGCACTCTTCTGTCAAATCCAGTGAGAGGCTGGAATGGATTGCATCCTCTGCTGACAAAGGTCAAACGCTCGTGTACACCGTCAATGAAGAGCATCGCCAAGACCAGCGCGCAAGTCTTCATCAGCTTGCACAGACCTTGCCGTCTTTGGGCAGGTCGCCTCATGATGGGGGACGCCTAACTGATGAAGTTTCTCTGAGGTTATGTCCCAAACAGTAGCTTAATACATGGCAACACTGCAACACATTGCCTTCACCTCGGTACAAACTATTGCTTGCATGGTGTGGCTGAATGTTGAGGTGATGAACATGTGCTCAAGGGGTTTGAGTGAACAACAGCGCCAATCCACACTTATTGCGGTGAGAATCACAAGGGGATAGCGCATGTGGTCACGAAGTGTGAATCCCTTCACAGACTCCGCTAGCTGCTTTTGCTGGGTACATAGATGATATTGTGCCCTTTCCACCAATTTTCAACAGTCTTTTCAACCAGTTGTGCAGACTAGGCTGACATGTATCCTTGAATGCGCTAGTATGTGCTAGTGCCACAACCTGTCTTAAGCAACTCAAAATGTGTGCGGCTCCGGCCTGTTTCAGCTTGACTGTCACATCGAACATCAAGGATTCGGGGAAGCAAAGGGAAGAAACGTAGACGTGCGTTGCTTCACTGATATCCGCATCTAACCTGAGCAGTGCACTTGGGCATGGCATGCTCTTCAATCAAAATAGGCTCTCGCAAATTCTGCAAACCCGCTCACCATTTGTTTCTCGCATAATTTTGCTGCTGGGGCGCAGGTCCCCTTTCAAAAGTTGGACCTGCAAGGTTCAGGGTGCTAAACTGCAGCAAGTGATGCTCAACACAACCAAGGATTGGCTCTGGTGCCTCTTCCGCTGGATTTGGCACTTCATCGTCTCCAACTAGACTCAACGCCATCTGTCGGAGTTCAAAGGCCTTTAGACAAATTCAGGACAAGTTTGATGTTGGCACCTCTTTGATGGTTGTCGTGTGCTACCGTGTGCTATCTTTGTTGCGTTCTTTTACATCTTATGATAATCTTACGTTACAAATTCTGTTGCGCTTCTGCTCTCTGAATAGTGAAATCTTGCGCCTCATCGCTGAGCAGTAACGACTCCCATGCCTCCCATGCATGTTTCGCACGGGTGGAAGAAAGCTCCACGCCCAGGGTACGCTTCACACCAGGCCATTCCAGGTATGACTGCACCTCACGTTCTGGACGCTGACGTTCTACGCGATGCATTGCATGCCGCTGAACTGAATCATGAACTCAAGATAACTCAGACTCAAACAGGCGGGAGAGTAGCCAAATACACTGTAAACTTGCAAGATTGCAAGTCCATCTCATTATCAAGAATTCTCACGTCCTACAAAACATCTCAGCGGAACGAGAACGAATACCGGCCCACAAATATTGCAAAATCATGTCGGCACCACAGCCCCATGCTAGTTTCATGTAGAAAAAACACTTGCAAAATATTGCAAAACCAGGTCAGTTGCAAATGACGTTGTGACCATTCTGTGTGTTTTAGCTCATCTGATGGGAATTCGTTCAACGTGTTGCCTCGCACGTTGCTCACAACTCTTTCAGAGCTTTGCGATCAGGTTGTCCGAATTCATATCCCATCTCCAATGGGTGCTTTGGACGTAGGTCCAAAGTCTTGTACACAACTCTTGAACCTTCTGTTAACGCAACATCAACTATGAACGCAACTTCTCGCGTAACGTATAGCATCAACTATGTACGTCAATTCTGAACCCTCGCGTGCATCCGCTATGTACGTAACTTCTGAACCTTCACGTAACGTAACATCAATTCTGTACGTAACGTCTGAACCTTCACGCAACGTAACATCTATGTACGTAACTTCTGAGCCTTCACGTAGCATAATATCCACTATGCACATAATTTCTGAACGTTCAAGTTCAGAAGCATACAGTGTGTGCGTAACTTCTAAATGCACTAACTATGCGTGTAACTTCTACTTCTACTTCCGCCCGTGCAAGCATGTATATTATACAGTATATAGCACATTGTGAGACGGTAGCACATTTGTGAGACGGCGAACAGTCCGCTAGCAAAAACATCATCCAAGACTGCGCTCGCAGTGGATAGGTTCAGTATGTGGAAAAGATGCTATCACGTATAAACTTGTATAAACTTTGCATAGCCCAGTAATTACAAGTGCAAACATGTGCAAACACAACTCAGGCTACGTGGCCAGCACAGGCAAAATAGGTATGGGATGGTATGGGTAATTTCGGCAAGATGCAACAAGCTTCCCAACCCCGCTGCCAAGATCTGCAAAGATTGCTGATGTCGCTCCATCACAAAGCCCCCATTCTTGGCCCAGGCGCCGGGCCTCGCACACCCGGTGAGTTGAGAGTTGTGGCAGACTACGGGAGACTCCAAAAGGCTCTGGAACTAAAACAAAGACATGACACAACATGGCAAAAATCGTCAAAATCATGCAAAATCAAACAAATACGAATACCTTGGCTAATTGGAATCCTGGATTCTTGCATTTGGACTTATCTTGGAGCTACATCCGACTACATGTCGGGAATACAAAATCAATGTCGACAATCCAGCGAGCTGGCAATCTGCTTCTGCAAATTGTCAAGGCAAGTACGATGCTTGCAGCATTCCCCAAAAACTTACCCCCAATTTATGAAAGCCTACTAGAGGGTACATAGGTGCCAGTGCAGTTTCAAGACATGTGGGCACAGTCGAGCGTCTCTGGTTTTTCTTGGAGTTTTCAATATTGACAAATATGCTCTTTGGAGTTGAACAGAGTGCATCGATCTAGCGCAGCAACTTTCCGAAATGATGGCATCCTTTCTCTTGCCTTATGCTTGTGTTACGCTTGCCCATTGCTTAAAACATCTTCAAACTGCTCATTTGCTTCACATATTCAGCTTAGCAGCTCCCTCAGAGACCAACTCTCCATAGACAGCTGGATCTGTTTTTGCATGGCGATTCATCCGCCGCTCTTCTTTGGCCTTTGTCTTGCAGAATCAGCAGAATCCGTTTCACATCTTTCCACGCTTCGTCTAGGAAACAACTCGCAAATATGCACGTTGGAAGAGAATAGCTGAATAGCCACGACATGCCACGACTATCAAATGGATTGTGAATGTCGAAATTGCCAGCATCATACCGGCGTCCTATCAAAACGAAATCAAAAGTTGCGCTCGTTGAGCAACTCTGAAGGTACTTACGCAAAGTGTATCTTTAAATTGGATTCTCCGGTCCTCTGGGTTACCCTAGAATTCGCTGCAATGTCCGAAACTGCACACTATGCCAAGCATATCCAAGCATCCGGGATGACAAAGCCTTCCCTTCCTCTCCAATAGGTATTTAGAACACGATCCACTTCTCGTCGGAGGCCAGCCTCGGAGAGCAACAAGTGCTTCTTCATCTTATTCCAGAAGCAAACGAATTGGATTCGAAAAACAACCGATCAGAACTGATCAAAATGACATCGATTCGGTTCAATGAGGCAAGCATGAGATGCTGGATGCAACTGGCAACCAGACCCATGAGTCCGTCAAACAGCTAAACAGCAACTCCAGCACGCCGGACATCGCCCGATCATGCCTGTGTCGGTGTCTTTGTAGCGGCACAGCCTTCCCGGCAAAATGTGAAGAGGCATCTTGTGATACTTTCTCCAATGTGGAACCATTTGCACCAATACAATCGATTCTCACTCAGAATTGGTGGCTGATTTGCGGAATGTGCCAGAAATTGGCCATCTGCTAGCTACACACGTGAGTCCCGATTGGGCCCTAATAGGCTATATACTGTACATGTTGCATTGCTCTCTTGCAGCACTTGCACTCTGCCTGCCAGAATGAGAAGGACACACGTGGAACAGGAATTCATCCAGATCTTGCCCCAATAATTCAACTCAAATATGTCTTTAATTCTGTGAATAGGTTCCAAAATGTTGAGTCCATTCCCCGGATTTGCAATGGTACCATCAGCTGCTGTTTCTGTCATGTTGTGAGTGCCGACAAGTTGATACATATCAGGTTTCTGCATGTTTCTGCACCATTCTCGAAGATACACTCTGTGTAGAATCAATGCCATTGTGTCACCGTGAGCCACCGTGAGCCACCGTGAACCACCGTGAGTCAGGGTCTCAGAGATTCTGCCCTCAGGTCTTTACTCGCTCTGCTCAACAGAAGTGAATCTACAAACGAAGCGAAGCTTAAACAAAACATGTACATTTGATTTAGTTTCTCATTCCATACAATCTACTTGTCCGGGATCACTTTGCCTGCATATCATGTATATGTATGTATATTATATATATATATATATACATGTCGTATGTTGCATTGATTGCGATGTGGGTGTTGATGTGCTCCTGCATGTCTGACTACAGAGCACATGCAAATCTTACATACGCCGGTCCTACACACATATGTGATATGCATTCATACACATGGGTATGCAGAAGAATGCATACAGGTTCATCTTCATCCCATTGTACGTGCATAATATGTGTAGCGTATACAGGTACCCATCTCTATATGTACCATGCATACACATAATGGATTGACGCACTTCAATCTGATGAAATCGAAGGCATAGAGAGAAACATGGGGAAAGAAATTAATAGACGTAAGGATTGTAGATTGAGACAGAGATACAGGCTGATAAGGAATGATAAGGACATAAATTTAGGAGAAGGATGGGTAATGGCAAAAAATGAGATGCTGGACAAGGAAACCATCCAGGGGACAAAACATAAGACAAAAATAGACAAAACATAATACATAAGACATACATAAGACATACATAAGACATACATAAGACATACATAAGACATACATAAGACGTACATAAGACGTACATAATGGATCTTATTGTAATGCAAAACACTCACCAAGGCAGATAAGACGATGGACAGAATTTGAAGAATCACACCGCCCCAGTTGCCCCCGTTGGCAGCGTCTCTGCGCATCTTTTGAACTGCAAACAAGAGTCAGAGCCCGCGTGCTTTGCGGCTCAGCTGCAAATGGCCAAGACGCAGCCAGCAGGACTCCATACATGCAGTGCAAGGTGCGCAGCGCAGTGCACTGTCTCAGATATTCTCAGTCGATGTTGGAACAGTGCAGTGCATGCACTAGCTCCGTCAGCTCAACAAGGGCAAGGCCTTCGACTTTGTGTCGAGCTAGTCATCACGCTTCGTCCCCACATGAAAAGACCGCAAACAGATGGAAAAGAAAGACTGACACGCCAGACACTGTCAATCAAAGCTCCTTGCCGAGGAAGCAAAAGGTCGAGCTGATTAGATGGGCAAGTAGATCCTTTAGAGCAAGGCTCAAAGGTCCAACTTCTGTTGATTACCGTTCTGCATTGGAGCCTGTGTCGTTCTTACGCTTCTCCGGGTCAAAACAGGTGGAAGGGTGTTGGGCAAAACACAAAGGTGCGTTTGGCACCCTGGTTTCTAGTGGTTGATGAATGAAAATGAAACTGCTTCATGTTCTCCCAACTTAGGATCAGAGCCAATCATGGAATATGTCTGGCCGCTTGCAAGACACTGTTGGCTGCAACACAGGTGTAATGGGGACTCCAATAGTCAAATCAGAAGAGGATCCATTCTGAAACAGCGTTCTCATTAGTCCAAACCCTTTTTCCCTCTAGCTGATTGTCCTTACAGGTAACATTATATAGTCCAAACCCCATTTGCCTCAGGACATCCAAAATAGCCAGTGGGAATGACCAAAAGGATTGCATTATTCATACAGTAGCCATCAGAAGTCTCAGAAACTCAAGTCGTTTTTGGGCTCCAACGCAATCTGCAGAGCGTCGCACATGCCTCCAGCATATTGTTATGGTTTGCAGCCGCTTCTTCACATATCTTCCTTGTAGACCAGTACCTCCGTTGTCTCCAACGGCTTTACTCACCAGAATCCGAATTCGCTGATTCTTGAGCGGGCATTTATACATACCAAGCTCACAGCAAGCATGCTCGCCTGAGGAAGAAGAGCGCTGTCTCCAACCCCAAGCACCGAAAGTTACCTATTTTGTAGGTTTTCCTACCTACACGTCATAGACCCCACTTGGACTGTAATGTATGCACGCACCAGGCTTTCTGTTCAAAACTGGTAGACTGTCGCCTCTGAATCTCTTCATGAGATCACCACGTCTCAAATCTACAGTGAAAATATGTGACTCAGTATGTGGAAGTCCACATAAAGATACACAAAGTATGTGTCTGAAAATCTGAGAAGTTGTTCTGCAAAGATCAGAAAGCCCAGGAATCCTCCAGGTGCCCTGACCCGGATCCTTGAAAGCGCCAAGCGTTGAGTCCAAATCTACTCTGTACACTACGGCACACTACGGCACACTACGGCACACTACTGCACACTACGGCATCGGTATCAGGTGATGTCGTTTGGCAAAGGTAAAATGGTCATGTGATGTCATGTGTTACATACATGTCCAATGTAAATAGATGTATAAATAGATGTAACATTTTGCTGCTTCCACCCGTGTGCATACCATGTTCATTTCAACTCTATCCGCAAATCGGTGAAGTAGGCTGCACAAAATTCGCGGAAAGCGAGTCTGCTTTGTATACCAGGGCATGTGTGTGTGTGCAAGCACAAAAAAAGAAAGGCTGCTGGTCTGGCAATAGCAGCTCGCTTCATTCGCTTCTATACTTCAAAGATTTGGCTCTTGCGCACATCATGAACTGTGCTGAACTCTTCGTTTCCACTCGTGCTGAACTCTTTGATGTCCATTGATGTCAATTCACAGCTCAGGCCCCAAGTGCCATGGCAACAAGTGTGGGTACAATGCTTCAAGTCCAGCACGGTGTCGAAATGTGTCGAACAAGTACGGTACGATGCTCATGGTTTGTCTTTTGGATAATGTATACCTGGCATCGTGTGCACATGTGTGTGTGTGTGTGTATGTTGTGCCTCTTCGTGTCACAGTGTCACATGCTTTACGACTCTCACCTGTTTCCGGCCGAAACTCACTGCTCAATGATGTCCTCACCTCAAAGACGGGCACAAAAGGGCAAAGAATCTAAAATTGGAAAGCTACTCTACATATATCTACATGCCCTTTCCCTTCGATCACCTTCTAAAGCCTTGTGCTTGCCACCTGAACTACAATGAACTACATCTCACTCCCGCAGAGCCTCCGATAGCCGGCTTGGAGTAAGAGGATGCAACACCTACTTCAACAGGTGTGTTTTAGTGTGAGCATGTGCGATTTTCTCCGTCAGAACTTGTCCAAGCAACAATAGTGATCAATAATCATTTTGAATACGTTATGTATATAGTCAACATATGTTAATATATGTTAATATAATATCAGCTAATATGTGTATGCCATTGTATACCTACAAATGCATGTTGTTTTGCTCTTCACTCCATGCAAACGTGGGCTGTGTCCACCTCAGTCACTCGTGGACCGAGCGATCTTCACTGTTGGAGCTGTTGGAGCGGGCGGGAAGGCAGTTTCCTGGCGGGGTTCTTGCTGTTCATGTGGAAAGAAATGCATCTTGTCTTGATCATATTGTATCATATGATATCATATGTATCATAGTGTCGTTTGTCAAGTATGGTCAACCGATGCCAAACGCCAATCTACGTTGTCATGTCTGGAGCTTGTGTCACGTTTCGCAGGTTGCAGGGACACTGCTCAGGTTTTTGGTAGAGGGCCAACCGAGGTTGCCGACTAGCTATCTCATGATGTTATTTTGGCAAAATATGGCAAAATCGTCTCTTGTTCTACGGGAGATGATCCTGTCATGTGTCCCTTGATGAAGAGCAGTGATTACACAGGTGGATGACAAGCTGTAAATCCAGTGTGATTTGCATGCAACATGAAACACGTCGAACCCTGCATGCAAATCCTAGATCAAGAGTCAAAATGAGTCTACAAATGAGCTCAGATGAGCTCAGCCTTGTCTTCCCTGGAGTGCTCGAAATGGCCTGCACACATCCAAATAGCTCCACAATGGCCAGTCTTTCATTGGGCGAATATTGGCGCTTAGTTGCTCTCTGAAGTTCAGAAGTATTGAAATACGAACGCACTACTGCTGTAACTACACCGAATCCTCGTGCCGTCGTGCCTTGTCCACATTCTGTCTCAGTGATGCCAGCCCAGTGGACTGGACTGCATGGGGCATAGCTTGCCTGAAACACAGCCGCAAAACATCGCAAGACAGCTGGCAGATGACAAGAAGAAAGACTGCAGCAACACAGCAAATGATGTTTCTGGAACATACCGTATTTTGAGAATCTTTGAGATCCGGTTTGCTGAAAAAGCAGCGCAACCAAATTCTAATCATGGTGGAATGACTGAGTTAAAGGAAGATAATTTAAGACAATCATCTTTCTCATCTGTCGCAAAATATTTTGAGACGGTGGTCTCTGCCGTTTCGCCGCACACAGGAAATTAGAACACCGTTCAAACTTCAAACGAGACTTGTAGCACCAAAGCCATTTCCACGGCCTGTGGTGTCTCATCGGAGTATGACCTTGCCCTTGCTGATGACAATGGAGTGCCGAAGAGTGAGGACAAACTCAGTTTTCCAAATTGGATGTCAAGAGTCAACGGCTGCGTTCTATCAGATTCTATCATCCTGTCTGCCACAATACCCATGCACAGATCATCATAGATCTCTGGTGATCTTTGGGATTAGGATCAGGACGGAGACACGTCCGTTAAAATGCTATCAATCTGATATTCATTCATGCGGCTCCACCAGCCCGCTACTTTCCTCTCTGTCCTATTCCCTGGGTGCGGGCGGTACTCATCGCGAAGCGACTCGAATAATGTGCAAACCAGTCAAATAGGAAATGTCTCAGAGCGCCAAAAAAAAAACTCTAGTACTCTGCCGAACAAAATCGACAGAACCGTCAAAAAGCAGCACAAACAGCAACAGCCAACAGTTGCCGAACTTCCCACACAGATGGGACAAAGGTCAGGTACATTAAGCTCACGTCTTTTGGTCAGGAAGCAAACGTTTGATAAATGATGAGACATGCACACATATTTGTTCAGATTTCATATGGCATCTCAATGATTCTCAATGATTCTCAATGCATCATCCCTTCGGCTCTAAGTTTGGATGCGGACCCAGAGGTCCCCAAACAAACACCAAGGGACAACTCCACGTAGCTCACTGCCATGCTGACCTCGCAAGTATTTGTCAAACGTTGGCAACATGCTTTGGCAACATGCTGGGCAACCACTTTCTCTGTATATAGTTTATTTTCAGTTTCTCATGTCTTCTGGAGCGCTGAAGTTGAGGCCCAACTTCCGCAGAAGTGAGACTTGAGGCATCCCAAGCAAGATACAAGCGAATTCACACATTGTCTGAGGTGTCGGGCTGAATGGCCGTCCATTCTCTTGGCAAAAATCCAACCTTTGCCCTTCAAGCACGGTGAGCAACCTAGTTTTTGAGACCGCAACTGCGAGGGTAGGGCAAGCAGAATAAAAAGCCAACAAGCACATGCTACCTGTTTAATATTCTGTTCAAGCCTTGATGTGATTTCTGTGAAAAGACTTCCTCTCATCATCTCACTGCAATAGTACCACATTTCCACTTGTTTTGAACTTGCTATGTCACAAGGACTTAGTAGTGTGTCTTCCAAGGGTATTCAACAAACTACAAGGTAGCGACCAGCCCTTTTCTGGCTTCAGAACCTTTACAAATGTTGGTCGAAGCTTCTTTACTTTCTGACAGGCTTCCCTGTCTCTGCGGGAGATGTAGCCCATCAACACTCTGGAAGTGAGCCACAAGGCCATGTGAAGCGATGTAATGTGAACTTCCCAAGCTATGGCAGCTATGGCCAAGCAGTTCGCCGCGGTACGGCGGTTACCACTCAGGTCGTCCAGGAATGCAACCCCAGCGGACGTGCGACGCAAGCCAAAAACTGCGGCAGTCCGCTGGGCAATAATTGGAAGTTTGGAAGTCATTGCTTCACCTATCCTGGGACTTTCAGGGCCATGTGCGTGATGATGGCGCAAAAAAAAAAGGCTTCAAGGATCTTCAAAGGATCTGTTATCGACACTGTTTCTCCACCTAAAGATACCCAAAGTTGGATGTTGAGATATGTTGAGATGTCTTGAGGTCTTGAGACGTCTCTTGTTGTGTGGAGCCCTTTCCATCACTTTGACTGCCCTGATGTCCGAGGCTTTGCTCCCGCTCTTTCAATGAGTGTCAAAAGGAATTCAAGAAAAAGATGGCACAAAGCAATATCCATCCATCCATTAAGAAACATGTGATATAATGTCAACCCCGGATTAATAAACCCCTAGGCTGTTTGATTGGGGAGGTACCATTTGAGTATTAGATACCACTATTTGGGGAGTACCCCGTAATTAATAAACCATGGTTTATTAATCCCGGGTTGACATTATATATATATATACATATAATTGTATTATATATATATATATTCTCAGGTGTGTATACTGTATACACACAATATGCACACATTATTTCATTACAAACATGTACAAAACATCAGAGTGCCCGGCGAAGCATTGCAACTTCAAAGGGGTGTAAGATGTGTAAGGTTGAATCCTGGCAGTGACCAGCCTTTTCCTCCAAGGTCTCTTGTCTCAATGTCACTCAATCATTCTGCCATATTCTGGCAATATCTAACATCATATGGAGCCTCGTTTGACTACTTCTACTATGTAACTTCACTGGGCAATACTGGACATGTGTCCATTTTGTTTGGCCATTTTGTTTGTGCCACTCTTTTCTGTGCATGCATTCGTCCACAGACCAGAAGGCTATCTTTCGCAGCATTCGTGCGAAGATCAGAAGAGTTGGAAAGGTGATGCTGCTCATGCTGTCTTAGTCTCTGACAAAGCAGAAAGGGGTATATTGCAGATTCTTGCATGCAGGTCCTGTGGTTGTAAAGTCAAAAGCCGAATTCCTCTCACAGCTGTCCTACCTGTCCTACCTGTCCTGACAATGGTTGTTGATGTTGTTTGTATGTCATGGCGGCTCCATGTGGCCACACGTTCTGAGTGGCAAGAGTTGCCGTATTTGTTGGATAAACTTGAACATACTCGACCTATTGCTCGACAAGGACTGCCGATCTGCGTATCCCCAAGACATTGCTCACGGTCTAGAACCACGAGAGAGCTTGCAGCATCCAGGAATTGCATGAGATTGCTCAGCTGCACCAGTTTGCACACAAAATTTGCACTCAAAAAGTATCATCTGGTTGTATCAGAGAGTCCATCCACGACATACATAATGCACTGTGGTCTCGGTGGTTTACCCTTCAAACACAGTCTTCTCTGTCTTCTCTGCCCTTCCTGAACTTCAAACCGGCCTTTGACATCTTTGACCCTACAAACGGGAATTCAAGCTATAGCACAACGTCATTGCGAGACAAGAAGTGGGAAGTTTATACTTTATATTGTGATGATAATTGTGATGGAAACTCGTCAAAAGGTCTTCTTTGGTGAGTTGCATCATTGCAATACCAGAAAAATTGTTCTCTGCAATGACCCGATGCGCCCTGTCCGACAAGTTTGTCGCGAGCCGGCATGGCATTCAAAACTTTCCTGGAACTGAAGGGATACCGTGGGTACCTTGGAATCGAGGAGTGCACGTGGGGAGGATTACCAGCCCATTGCGCTGCAATCCACAAAAATGATGCCATTCCCAGACTGCAAAACGTGCTTGCGGTCCTGCCGTTGCAATCGAATCACTTGCAACGAGAAGTGGTCCGAAAGAGATATTAAAAAAAAAAAAAAATCTGCATGAACAGTCCGTGTCAGAATGCCAGTGCTACTGGTAATCACCATGTGGTTTTCACCAATGCTTCGCTCCAGATTCATGGCCTCAAAGAAGACTGAGACGGCTCAGCAGCGAGTTCCCCTGCAATTTGAAGGGCAGGGAAGCAATGCGACTTCAATGCGAGCATGGGAAAGCATCTGACAGTGCTGCAAATCGAAACTGGGCTCATGAGGACTATCGTTGACCCATCTTGAGTCGAACCATTTCGAGGCCTGTGGGAGTTCAAGGGGCCGAGGCAAATAGGCTGTCCGCTTCTTTAAACGTTCATCCTGCCAGGCAGAAGAGTGAGCAGCAGAATGCAGTCACACAGCGCATCATTATCCATTTACATCCGACTACATGCTTATGTTATAAGATTTATAAGCTCTGACAGTGAAGCACTCATCAAATAATGTCTTGAAATTGTGATGGACGGCTTGTTGCAAGTTGCTTGCTCTGCCTGATACTCGGAGTGCGGCTTGATGGCCCCAGGAGGCAGCATGATTGTTGGGCCCTTCGGCAGATTGCTAGCCTGACGATTCATTACATTTCAGAGCCAAAGGATTTGGTAAACAATGGAAACGTTGAACATGGTTCAAAAATGTTTTATGAAAATCATTATATAAATCACATCAAGGCTATTCCGATTCAGAGCTTGTCGAGGATTCCCTTGCTGTTGCCTTAGTAATATGCCTTTGTTGTCTTGAAGGCTTTCTTGGATGATGGTTGGATGATTTAGGTTTCTTGGCTGATGCTTCGGGAGCGGTACCCAGTACTCAGTGGCATTCCGAGCGGCACCTTGGGCCAACGTTTGGCCTCTGGTGAGCAGTCTTCCGGCTTTGGCACCTTTGGCACCGCTGGCGCCCTTGGTACCTGCTAAAGGGCTCAATGGCCAAGTAATCAAAGCCACACATTGAGAGTATATCAAAATAATTCAAAGTACAAATTCGCAACTATTGTAGCCTGTTCACAACTTCATTTTCTGAGGTCGATGGAAATAGGGAATCCAGCATCGGTGATGGTCAAAAGCCCACCACGTTTAGTCTTGGAGCTGTTGAGAGTCCAAGGATTCAAACTTGCACTGGGCGGTGTCTGTGGTAAGAGCGCAGAAGCATCTTCAGGCCAGGTGAGGAAACCACTTCAGATCAGATCAAATTCATTCGCATTTCTCACGTTCCAGCCCCGAACAAGCCTTCACATCCAGGCAAGTTACATCAGAACCTGTCACACTTCCAGGGACAGGTTCACCAGGCATAAAATTACTTCTTCTGAAGATGTAGAGACTGCTTTGAGCTGTACAAGCTAGGATCGCTGGTTCTTTTGTCGTTATGTCAAATGTGCTGGCCAGGATCTTCAAATGCCAAACACAAAATCTAAAATCGGCTTGGAAGACTGGTGTAATTCTTTAAGGTCGCCTTAGGTCGCCCATGCTTCCGTCCCCCTTGCCTGTGACTAGAGCAGCAACCGGGGAAGACAGCGGGGAAGGCGCAAGAAAACGTAACCGCTCAGCCTGACAGCTTCGACAAACAAAGTCGCAGAAGTGTGAAGCCAAGTTTTCATGGAGTGGGAAAAAATGCAAAAAACACACAGAACACATAAATGCAAAAATGAAAGTGATCCTTTTTTCTCCGCTGTAGTACATACTTGGCTGACGCAAGAAAACTGCAAAACTGCAATGTTGATATGTTCTTTGAGATTCATGACTCGTCCAAGTCTGCTGGTAAGGTACTTTAACTTCACACGAAGTTTTTCACTGTCAAGAAGCGCTTATCACGTCCACATAATTATATATATAGTATAATATGTATGTGTGTATACTTATACATATAATATAATATATGTTATATTATATATATATTATATTGGCTACTTGTCGACTCAAGATTGCCAGATGTTGCCAGTTTGCTTCAGGTCCCGGCCCGTGAATGAACTGAATCCTCTGGAAGCCTCATTGCCAACAACAGTCCGCACTAGTTGTCATACACCTGAACTATCCTGAACTACAGCGTTTACGGTGATGCCAAGAAAACTAGGTCCTGGAACAATAAAAATTAGCACAAAAAGGCATAAACATTGAATAAACTTGAAAAAACTATTGTAAACTGCTTGAAGCACCATGATACGAGACTGCCAAAACTCCTTTGAAAAGTTCATGCTTCGCTGCTCCGGAAGACGCACTCAGAAACGGACTGAAAAACTCAGGATGGAAACAGAATATATACTCATGTGTACTAATGAGCTAGTTGTATAGGCTGCATAATTAGTATATTTAGAAACAAGCTACTATCGATCTTCAGCTGTCGACATTCAACTTTTTATGATGGTGGACTACCTTCTGACATTCTTTGGATTCAAGAGTCCACGTTCTGGCAACAAAGGCTGACTGTGCCCCAGCTTAGGTGTTCACGTCGCATTGCTCCTTTGTGGCGCGCTTCCCAGAAGAGACGTCAAACTTAGATTTGCCAGGAATAAAAGTGACGCAGAAGAACAGGGATGACTGTGAGGCTTGACTGATTCGGACACGAGTTTTTGTCTGTGGAGATGTTGAACGGTTTTGAAATGTTTTGAGATATCCCAAGGCTCTGCTGGACTGTGAAGGATTTACTTGTTCCAAGAAATGTGGCACCCTCTAGATTCAGTCAGGATTTGAAGAAAGAGTGGTCAAACAAAGACGCCTATGCATGTACAATTCTGCTAATTCTGTTAACCGCTTCGAACCCACACATCATCGGCCTGGGTGCAAGTGTGAACCTGTCTGATCCAGTCAGATTCCACAGCATGTCACAGTTGCAGCCGAGTGTCAGCTCCACGTACTGCACAGTAAAGGCGATCTCGGAAAGGCTCTGCTCGACGACGGATGGAAAAGCCAGGCATACAAAGGAAATCCAAAAGAAAAACAGATCGCACCGTGATCACACCAAATATCATGAACAAGTACTTTTGTCTTGGTTTGCTTTTACCTCATCAAAAGTGGATATCGTTTTGAGGTTTGATCCAATTTCTACAGTTCTTACATTTCACTGCAAAATCATTCAAAATCGGAAGAATATGAAAGAATAACATTTCGAGCAGAATCGGATCAATGATCACAGGTTACTATGTCTATATACAGTAATTGGATCGAAGTTCGAAGTGGTTCTCTTAGGCCCGGACTGCTTGTCCGTCCATGGCTGCTGCTGTTTCGGGTATCTACTTCAGATCATGCACTGAGCCAGTGGAGCAAGCCACGGGATGAGTTTCGAATGCTATGAATCGCAGGCTGGATCATTTGAAGACCCACATACTTTCAAAGCAACCCGCGGGACCAATTTCACTGTCCTGCCTTGACGTTCCTTTTGTTCAACATTGAAATGTCGCCTTGCTACTAGTACCGCTAAAACGTTTTCTGCGCTTTGGACAGCCCGGAGAAGTGAATTTGATGAGTGAAAGAGCGGTTTTCCTGCAGGGAGGCATTCTATGTATTTCAAATTTTCCAGGCGTTCTACGGCATATATTATCATATATTGTAGTACGTGCTGTAATCAATCATAATGATGTACAAGGCGAAGCATTGCCTGCATGAGGAGATTAATCATGGAAGCACAAAAGATACAAAAGGTAAAACCTTGGAAATCGATTGTAAATCCTGGATTTTTCTCAGCAACGAAGATTCTCCCGTTCCTTTTTACTCAGAGCAGTCTGGGCGAGGTCCCGGGCGCGAACCGCTGCCCAATAGCCATTTCCTCGGTCAAAGGTGCTGAGTGGGTATTGATTCTTTCCCAAACCCTGAAACCCTGTGTGGTTGCACCCTGTGTTTTTCACTACATGGTCAAGACATGCATCCAGGTTCTCACTTCGAAATAAACAAATCTTACGTAAAATGGCAATCCGGGATGTATATTCAATTCACAACATATCTGAACATTGACTGAAGTATCCATATATGCAAACAAAGGTCTCAATTAACAACATTGATAAAGTATGATGGCATGTTTGGTGTTACTTTCTAATCTCGTTTTGCACCACTGGAAAGTGAAGGACCTTACCAAAACTGTTGTTTATACCTTAATATATATATATATATAGTATGATGACATGTTTGGTGTTGCTTTCCGATCTCGTTTTGTACGATTGGGAAATTGTAAAAGGTGGATGGATGACGAAGAAACTGTGAAAATTGTGGTGGTTTCCCCCGCGAATCCTTCAATATTTCATGATGTCCATGAGGTCCACTGTGTAAAGTGAGTTTCAAAAATCTAGTTTTGCAATTCAGGGCCTGAAGCTACTATAAGTGTCGGCGTTGAAGTGCCATCAGTGATTTTATCAGTTGGCAGTTGGCGGCCTAGTTGCAATTGTCGGACCGCATCCTCGACGTTGTCCACTTGAAGTGTCCACCGCGTAAATGCCCCAAGGACGGCAGCCAAAGAGGCTGCACCTATGCCTCGCCAAACTTACATGCAAAACGTAATCCAAAATAGGATCCACCGACCCCAGCCGACGGCAGGGGGATCGCATTAGAGAAGCAATTACTCACAGCAAGGGGAAGGCGTTATAGGCAGTCTGGGCCGCCAGCTTCGTCCCCAATCCGTCCTTCAGTGGCACGCTGCGTTTTGGAGCTAGTGCCTTGTCGCCGAAGCTGGCAAGTCTGATGCTATTTTTTGTCAGTTCAGAAAGCAATGTTAGGCAATGGCAGGGGGCAGCTTTGGAACCCGCTGCTTTTTGGAGCTAGCGTCTTCTCACCGAAGCTGGCAAGTCTGGTGCGAGTTCCTTGTCGGTTCAGAAAGCAATCTGGGTGGTGTTTGTCTGTGGCGAGGGGTTCTGAACTGACAAGACACTAGCACCAGACTTGCCAGATTGTGACCATCTCCAAAACTTCCGCTCTTGCTTTTTCTCTCGCCTCTTGCTTCTTCCTGCTGGATTTTTTCTTCCTTGCTGCCTCGCGGCAGACGGGCTTCCCAAAGCTGCCGCCTGCCGCTGCCTAACATGGTTTTCTGAACCGGCAAGAAACTAGCTCCAGACTTGCCAGTTTCGGGCCTCCGAAACATCCCCTTCGCCCGAGACAACCCAGACGCCCGGCTTCCAAAGCTCCCCCCTGCCAGTGCTTAACGTTCCTTTCTGAACCGACAAGAACCTAGCTCCAGACTTTCCAGACAAACACAACCCAGCAAAGGGACGGCCGGCGTCCAAAGCTGCCCCCTGCCAGTGCAGTTGCTTTCTGAGGCGACGAGAAACTTGCTCCAGACTTGCCAGCTTCGGGCGTCCGAAACGTCCCCATCGCCAACCAAGCACCAACCAGCTGATTAAGGGACGGTCGGCTTTCAGAGCTGCCCCCTGCCAGTGCCCAACGTTGCTTTCTGAGCCGACAAGAAACAAGCTCCAGACTTGCCAGCTTCGGAATTGTCCACTTGCCGCAGACAAACATTACCCAGCTACGGGACGGCGGGCTTTCAAAGCTGCCCCTGGCCACTGCCTGAAATTTCTTTCTGAACTGGCAAGAAACTAGCTCCGGACTTACCATTTTCGGGCCTCCGCAACGTCCCTCTCGCCACAGACAAGCACCACCCAGCTATAAGGGACGGCCGGCTTCCAAAGCTGCCCCCTGCCAGTGCCTAACCTTGCTTTCTGAGCCGACAAGAAACAAGCTCCAGACTTGCCAGCTTCGGGCATCCGAAAAGCCCACCTTGCGACATGCTCCAGATAAACACCACCCAGCTAGGGGACGGCGGGCTTCCAAAGCTGCCCTTACCACTGCCTGATTTTTTTTTCTGAACTGACAAGAAGCTGCTCTTTCAGGGACGGGTTTCCAAAGCTGCCCCCTGCCTGTGCCTCTGGAGCTAGTTTCTTGTCGGCTCAGGGGGCAGCTTTGGAAGCCGCTGTCTGTGGCGGGATGCTTCGCAGGCCCGAAGCTGGCAAGTCTGGAGCTTGTTTCTTGTCGGCTCAGAAAGCAACGTTAGGCACTGGCAGGGGGCAGCTCATGATGATTGAACCTGCCCTTTTGTCTGCTTTTCGTCAACCCCCAGCAAGACCACAGCCAGCTAAACTTATTTCCTCTGCTTTGACGTGCAAGAATATGTCATCCCACCAGCTGGTATAATATGTCCGTTAGCTTTCGCTTCTAACATGACAGTGCAGGCGACCCTTTTGTCTTATGATTCAAGGTTGAATGCCTCGGCGTAGGTGCGTAGCTACCGCTAGCTTTAGCTACCTTGCGCGCGCCCCCGGCACCGACCCCAAAAATCATTCACACTGGTGGTGCTTTCACGTTTTTCGGGGTCC